ACAGACGGGAGATCCTTCTTAATTATGCTGTGTATTGCTGGGTGGGGTAGGTGGACGGCTTTTACTTTGACAATTGTGTTGATGGATTCTCATCTATTACAAGACGTCGTACTTTGTATATCGCAGATAGGGTACGACTTATTGCAGGTCTCTTTCAGGATGATCCTGAATCCTAGATTGATCCATATTGCTTTGTGTTTTACTGTCACGAAAATTCTAAAACCCCGATCAGAATACAGCTTTATGATCTGACTCTATGATTATATCTTGCGTCAGAAATTGCTGTTACATACCCTGCTCAAAAGTGATCAATTTTAGTTGTGTCAAATAATACCAAATTGCAAATTGTTTCCGGATAAAACAAGTAATTGTGCTCTTAAAAACGTATTTTCTATTTCAGTTTTAAAAAACATTACATTTCGCCAGGTTTACCTAGCATCAACAGGTGATATACAATTAAATTTGTTTGTTTGTAATTAAGCACAAAACTACACAATGGGCTATCTGTGCTCTGCCCACCGCAGGTATCGAAACCAGAATTCTAGCGATGTAAGTCCGCAGACATACCACTGTGCCACTGGGGGGCGTACAATTAAATAATGGAACAAAACCGTTACGTGTTACAGTATCAGTAGGGATACTGCATTGCTTAGCAACAAATGAAAACAAGTCAAACACAAGTATTCAATAAATAAAAATTAAAAGAAATATAATTTTACATCTGAAGGCTGGCTAATGATAGATCTTTGTTTTGCGGAAAGAAAGTTTCTTTTATATTTTTTTCTACTTATATTATTTTTTCTACCCATGACATTAACATCCAAGAACAACAAAACAATAGTGCTTATTTTAAGCCCTGTGACACTACGGAAGGGGCTTTTAAATGTTTTATTTTCATCTTGTAGACACTTGTCGACCGTTTTCTCCAATGCAAGAATTAGCACAGTCTTTATAGGTAATTTGATACAAAGATCGTGTCCTTGCCTACAAATGTGTGAGATACAATTTGACCTGTTTTCTTGCTGGTAGGAAATGAATTTTTACAGTTAAATCCATGTTGCATTCTTTAGTTGTTTTTAACAATGTTTACTGGATGTCATTTGAAACCCTGGGAATATGTGGTATAACACAATAAAAAATACGTTTTTCTTTTAACCTATGATTGTTTCTTCATGTCGTGATTCACTTTTTTATGACTTTGAGATAATACATCAAATTAGTATCAAAATGTAGTTCTGATACATTCTGCTCCACTGCGACTTTATAGCGGCTGTAGTTATCATGTAATCTGCTGATTTGCACATTCAAATTGTTTTAACATGACGTACTCAATCAACTCTGTATATGTAAATATAATATACGTATCTGTCTTATCTATAGAGCATAATAATTTTGAAGTCACTCGAACGAAGATAATGATATTAACAAATTATCGCTACTAATATAATTCATAACAAACTTCGGGATTTGATGTGCTGTAAACCTTTAACAGTACTTTTGCAGATCTCTTTCGTTTAAAAATTGAATTAATTGTAGGACTTCAGCTGAATCATAAACACAAAATCCGCACGAAAACAAACGATTGTATTTGATTCCGTTCTTTTAAAAGATAAATGTCTCTAGAGATAATTTTTAGTCATTAAAATGGTGATTATTCGCAACTTTTTAATACTAATTAATATATATCTTCATTTAAAAGAATTACATGCCGATTTTCTATCACCTAAAATTGTCTAATGCCAAGATGTGGAACGTAATAGCTATATTTTTTGTTAGATACACTTCATTTTTTTCTCTCTCTCTTTACAGATGACTACTAGAACATAGAGCACTTTTCAACTATTTTTTATTTATGATATTGCAATTTTTTACGTGTAAGGTATCTTGACTTTTGCGCAGACAATAAATTTTTGAAAGGGATCTCAAGGAACTTCTTTGTCTTTTTTTTTCCAGAACAATTATCGAGAAACTTTTGTGGTGTCCACATTATTAAGATTTTTGTTAGGTATGAGACATTAACTATAATGAATCTTTTTAATCCTTAAACTTTAAAAAAGTTATATCAAAATATTGAAATACTTATAATGTATATATATAAGTTCACAATTTTCTTTCAACAACGATAAGAAAATATTCCGTCTACATCTTATTTTGAAATAATATAGAATAATACCTGATTAATATTGTTGAGGATCCCAAACATAATGATGTTTATACAAAACATATACAGTTTTGGTAGATTCCTATTTCCATGAACACTAAACGAATTTTCCTTTCAAACATTTGATAAATGATTAATACCATTAACTTTACATTTGCGCCTGGTTTCACGCCTTTTGAAAAGCTTTTCACGCCTAAACAGTTGCTATGGTTACGTAATACAGTGATTGCGTCATTCGTGTAGATCATAACACTTATATGAGTCCAACCCATAGTTTCACCATATGGAGGTTTAAATGTAATATATGGTAATAAGGAAAATAAGGTAATTAATTTCATTTTTTTAATTTGCGGAAAATAAAAAGTAAAATAGAGTATAAAAGCACGAAAACTCCATATTTGATCTGTTTACAGAACTGTATTGATGATAAATTATCAGTTGATAACTTAAGCTATTATGCGACTACACAAAAGTCAACTAGAAACCCTTCTATTGAAAGTGAGTCGTTACTGGACAGCTGAATCAGGTGTAAGAACTATAGCTGTCGCACAACTGCCGTCATAGTGACGTCATCAAACACTGTTCGAGAGCAAGAGAGTGTAACTTTGACCAGATACATTCATCACAGTTTTCTCTTGTCTCTTTAGTCAGCATGTGGAATTGTACAGTAACTTCCTTAACAAAGTCACCTTTATCTGTAGTTTTGTATTGCTTCCCCATAGCGCGTCATGTTTCGACGTTCTTGGCTGAGATGATTTAAACTAGGTTGCATCCTTAATGACGAAAGGTAGTATATATCATGTAGCTAGAAGATTGATTTTTATTTAATGTTGCTGCAATCAGATGAGAATTTTGTGCAAGATCCAGATAATGCATTATGATTTAATTGTATATAGTACCATTTTTATTTTTATTCATTCGGTGTTTCAAGAAGTTAGTTAACTGAAATAAGTAATTTATGTGTTTTAAACACATGCGTTCCCAAGAAAGCATTCGATAATTTTTTTGTATCTTTTCATGACAATAGTTATTTGCCAAATTGCTCAACACTCACAAGAATTTTTGTGCCTTGCCAAGTGATTTAGAATTTACGTATAACAAAGGGCTTTTTAATACTTGTAATAAACAACGCTTTAACACCAAATCTATTTATATTTAATTATATACTCAACATTTGCTTTACAGCTTCTTCAGGAGGTCCCACTAAAACACAAACCGTTACAAACAGCACAAAACTTCATTTGGTTTTGAAATAACCAATTAAAGCTTTGCGCTGTTAGCTACACTTTCTGTTTTAGTGGAACACTCGTGAAAAAGCTGTAAAGCGAAACGTTTAATGTCCAATTAAAGAAATAAGGTCGTTTATTAGTACTATTAAAATGTCTTTTATACATCAATGTGTACTACAGAAATGGAATATAGAAAGGACTTGCTATTTTCAGACTCCATGAACAAGTTATAATCAAAAGTAGTGTAAAGCTAACTTCGATTTTATTTTCTCGACCGTGGATTTTATGCGAAAGAACAAGTGTCTTGAAAACCTGGTTTCAGTTTCTGTTTCTAGCCGTGCTGGTAAGGGTTTCTAAATTTGTTGCGCATGATCACTGTAGGGTCTTAACATGGCGGCTGTTCAAGCTAGGGCTGGAAGATCTGTGGTTACTAGAGGACTAGTTCGGGTTGGATTTTATGAGCTGGAAAAGACCATTGGAAAAGGAAACTTTGCAGTAGTCAAATTGGCAACCCATATCATCACCAAGACCAAGGTAAGACTTCAGAAAATTTCTCAAGCCAAACTAGCACGACTAATGTCACTGTCAGAAAAGTTGTATAAGCATAAAACGACTACGTTAATAGGGTAGAATAACACGCCGTGCAGTGGCAGAATTTATCCGGCAGAAACATTTTGCGCTGGGGTTTATAAAGCTCCTAACTTCGATTGGTGATCACGCCTGACACTAGTCTTCTGTTAGTTTTTGAGACAATCGAAGCCCATATGGCTTATAAATGTGTAAGAATTAGATTTAAAACAGGATTTCTAATGTATTAGATTTGTAATGTTAAGCTATGTAAAGTATTACGGAGACTGTTATTTATGAATAATTATAACTACTTTGTAAATGATGTTAAACAACATTATTATAATTGACTAAAAGTAGTGAATTACTTATTTTAAATATATCTTAATCTTCCACTTATAATTTCATGTGGTAAAAAACTGTTTACTTTTCTTTACTAAACTAAATACAGTTAGCAAATCTTCATAAAGCATCAAAGAATCAATGCTTTAATTAGTAAATCTTCCATTAAAATGTTATTAAACAAGTTGTTTAATACAAATGGAAACAAAATTCAGTATTTCAGTATTTTGCTGAACTTATGTGTTAACATGGATATTTCTGCAGTATGTTTTTGGTGTGTTTTAAAATCAATATATTACAATCTTCTAACACATAAATTTCAGGTATATATATAAGGAATTATTGATACCCTAAATTTGATCTTTAATAATGGAGTTTTATAGATTTTACTATATTTAATATAGAGTCTAATACTTGCATGTACAGTGCATTATTTTTAGGTGTGGTATATTTAACATTCATTACATAAATTGCACTTAATAAATTATCAAAAAAATAATTATTTGCTATTAAGTGTGTCTAAATTATTCAAATTATAAGTATGTTATACACATCCAGTATATTATTAATGAAATAAAACAGATACTCAAATGGATTAATATAGTGTTTTGATATGTTGTTTGTTGTCATATCAATAGATGCTGGGCTTAATATGTCTCAGATTATTTTTCAAAGAAACACAAGTACAAGTTATTATATTTATACGTAAGTTTTCTTACAAACATTTTTGTTACACATCAGAATATTTTTCAGTGTTTATACATTGTACAGAACTAAAATGTTACAACTCAAAGTTATTTATTTTTACATTCTTCTGGGTGGATGTTTGATTTACTAGTGGTGTCATCTATCTGATAATTATTAGGGAACAAATATAGAGGTACTTAAAAAAGATGTACATTTTTCTCACAAATTTTCCTATTACCTTGGTTATAATTTCTTAGATTCTCATAAATACATTATAAATCTACAATCTTTCTGGTGCATGGAAAAATTATATGTACATACTGTGGGATATCTGGCTTTGAAATATTTTCTCCCTTTTTATTGGAAGTTATATTTATCATGCTGAATTTTGAAAATTTATACAATGTTATCTAACACAGATCTGAAAATCTACTAGTTGTTATCTATTTAATAATACTCACGTTTTAGAAATACACTGAGAATGCATTGTGTCATAAGACACATATAGTTTTTTTCACTTATAATGCATGGTTTTCATTTTGTTGTGTTTTAATATTAAATATATAGCCTTACTGTTTTCAAAAGGCTCTGAGTATGTTAAAGTATATAATGCTACATTTTAGGAAAAGTAAAATTATAAGTCGTAGTTTCATAAAATTTCAAATATTTAACACCATCGATTGTAAATGTATGCATTTTGTGTATATATGTATGTGTGTGTGCATACATGACAGAGGTAAAATGAAAAGTAGCAAAAAGTACTTTTAATATTTTTATATTTAAGTTGTCAATTTTTAAAAATAAGTAAAATAGACTGAGGCTAGAAAATGTAAAATTAAACTTATAATTAAGCTGTGACAGAAGTATCTTACAAAGCCATTGTGTAACTATTTTGAGGAAATATTTATTGCTTCAGAGCAAATGTGCATCCCAATAAAATTGATAAATGATGTATAAGTACTGTATCAAGCTACATTAATATTGGATTTGTTTTAATACAAAAATGCATAGACACTGTGTTCACAATGAAAATATTTGATTTATTGCTTCATGTAATATTGTCCATGAAATAATGATACATTGCTGTGTGTGCATGTTCTGTGTGTATGTATACTAACTAATACATTGTTAAATGATGTACTAAATGTACTTTTAAAAAATTGTCTTCATGCCATATAAGTACAAAAATTTGCATTAAAATTTACATAAATGTATATATGTTAGCCATTTTTTATAGTGTTTATCATCATATTAACACCATCAAAGTATAGGAACTTGCCTATAACTAGTAAAAAAAAAAGGTTTACTTGTTTGTGTACAGCTGTTTATAGAGATTTTCTTTGAATTCTGTTACATACATATTTAAGTAATTAAATCACCAGGGGATAGACTACAGTGATTATGTGAAAGAGTAATATTGAAGTGGATTGAAACTTGATTGTATGCCTTACTGCTCCATTGTTGTTAATAATGTTGAATAATAGCATTTATTTTATGCTTTATGTAGTAGGTTAGTGTCTGTGTAAATGCAACTGTATTGTCTTAGTGTCTATGCAAATCTTTTAATCATCATGATTTTCTTAGATTCAGCTTGTTTTTGTATTCAACTTTTTTACTTTGGATTTTACAATATACACTTAGAAACACTGTTTAGTACTTTGTTAGCAATGCAATTTCAGTAACAGTACAGGATACATTTCAACTTACTTCAGGTTGGATTGCTGTTAAATGTGTGTGTGTGTATATATACACACACAATCCACTTATAAAGCTGAATATTTGTATTTGTCTTGAAACATTGTACATCACCAGTCTTGGCACAAGTAATCAACTGTTTAAGAATGTTACATACATGCTGATTAAATTTCAGCTACATTAAATCTTTGTCTTTTAAAACAATGAATGTGGAATATCAACAGTTCTGGATATTAGTTGCAGAGTATGACAAAACAGTACTAAATATATAGTTATCAATGACACAGTTTGGAGATACCATAAAGTGGTGTTCATGAAAATAAGTATTTATTTTAAAATTATATACATGCTACTATAAACTACTTACATTGTTACACCAATTATGAATTTATATAGATTTAAACACTAACAATTTTATTTATTTGTCTACAGTTACACTTATAAAATTTCTGAAGTATAGATGAATGTTATGTTACTGAATTTCTTTCAATGTAAGTCATATAATACAAAATTAATGTTGTATGATCATTGAAAAACAGTTGTATATATTGCTCAGGAACAAGTGGCAGATTAAGTATCATTCTTAGCAGAATTTTATACCTTTTGTTTGTCATAAAAATTGCATCCAAGATTTTGTCTGTCATTTTGTTTGCGTGTTTTATGTGCTTATACTTATGCTTCTAACATTTAATTTTGTTAAGAAGGTTAGGTTATTGGATAATCTTTCTCTGTTATCATACTGTAGTAAACTAACTCTTCTGTATACTGTAGTATTATTGTTTTATAGGTTGCGATCAAAATTATTGACAAAACACACCTAGATGAAGAAAATTTGAAAAAGATTTTCCGAGAAATTCAGATAATGAAGTTATTGAATCACCCTCATATTGTCCAACTATATCAAGTAAGCCAACTAGATAGATACCAGTGCTGCGGTGCTATAGATAAGCTTACAATGCTATCTCTATATTGTTCTATCTGGCTTTACTGTATACTGTTTAGTGGCTTAGTTCACTAGTGTTTACCTGTACATGTTATATAGAATTTAGATAAGTTAAGCATGAAGTTTTAAGCATTATTAGATTATATTGTATGTTCATATCTATTACATTTTAAAACATAGTATAAATCTTATTTGAAACAAGTGGGTAAAATGTTATATAATAAGTCATATTTATACATGGTAGCTTACTTTCAATAAACTAGGTGATTTGGTACTTAATGTTACAATGCTTTTAATTAATATTTACCACTTACAAACAACAATTATTCTTCAGAGATATGATTGTAAGTTGGGTAGAAACTCATGATTAGTGAATTTAGAATATTATTGTTATGTTGCTCTTAGAAATACTAAAATATGAATCTCAAAATTATCAAAGAATTCCTTGTAAATACCCAAATCATTTATTTTCTCAAAAAAATTATAGGTAAATAAATCACAAAAAACAAATTTTAGTAGTAAACCAAAAGCATGTATATTATGTATTTTATATGATATATAATCATTTATTATTAACATCTAATTGTTCATTGTCTTTTGTTTTTTATTTCCTGTTTACAGTATTGGTGGATGACCTAAAACAAACATTAGAAAAATATAAGTAACTTTTTTAGTTTGATTTTGAAATTTTAGAGTGTAATGCAGTTTTAAAAATGAAATATCTCACAAATTAGAGCTTAAAAGTGTTTCATGAGTAAAAATTATAGGGCCAGGTTCAGATATAGAGCAATTTTGATAATGTGTTAACATATAAACACATTCCACACTTCATTAAAGGAAAACATTTTTTATATGTATAACTGATGGATAAAACATTTTATTATTGCTTTATGATATAAAAATATTTCTTTAATATTCAGGAAGATTTTGTTTTAAATTTTCTATAAATAAAATGCAGTACATGCTTATTTGATTGGTGTTATGAACATTCAGTTGTCTTGTACTCCTGAAATAAACCTAGACTAAGGATTATATGCATAATCTTTTTAAAGTTAATTCTATCACAAAGTATAATATGAACTAGGTATTTGAAATATTGATTAGACCTTTGATTAATGTTTCAGTTTGAGTGCTTTTTCATACGTGAATTTAACGTTTAAAGAACTAATGATATTCTTTAGTTTAACCAAAAGCATGCTTACAAACACAATATTTTATAATATTTTTTATTTCTAGTAGAAATGTTTCACATAATGTTTTGAGACTTCAGAAAAAAATTATAAATGGTATCTTACTAAAATGTTAGGTGATGGAAACAGAGAAGATGCTATATTTAGTAACAGAATATGCAAGTCAAGGAGAAATATTTGGTGAGTGAAGTTTCATTTAACATATGTGCATCAGGTTAGTTCTATTTATGAAAATTTAAG